GCAGTGCCATTATTTTAAACTATATTCCATGTAGTTCAGTTCCAAAGTATAAGTGGGAGGATTCAAGGTTGTGTGAAACCCCTTCGGTACCTCAGATATAGCAGAGCAACCAAGATGTTTTTGCCCTGTAGGCAGATTTGAAGACCAATTTTTTAGAAGAAGAAGAAGAAGAGATTGGATTTATACCCCGCCCTTCACTCCCCAAGGGAGTCTCAGAGCGGCTTACAAACTCCTTTCCCTCCCCCTCCCCACAACAGACACCCTGTGAGGTGGGTGGGGCCGAGAGAGCTCTGACACAAACTGCTCTTTTTCAAGGACAGCTGTGCCAGAGCTTGTGACTGACCCAAGGTCACATCAGCAGGTGCAAGTGGAGGAGTGGGGAATCAAACCCGGTTCTCCCAGATTAGAGTCCACACACTTAACCACTACACCAAACTGGCTCTCAGTTTAAAAAACAACAGTAATTATTTCACCATACTAATTTTGCACTAAGTTTGCTTTTGGAAATAGCATTAGTATCACACCGGTTGATAATCAAAGTACCTTTTAAATGTTCTAACAAAATTAAAGCTTTAAAAAAATATTCAGTCAATTCTTTACTGGTTTATCCACCAAATTTGTTTTGACTAGTCAAATGACTAACCCTACTCAAAGGTGAGTCCTGCTCCTGAAACAGGAGCTGGAAGCTTAAAGTCCATTAATCCTGGTTCAGATTTATCAATTAGACTTGGGTACTGGGCAGGTTTTCTGCATATGAAGTTCTTGATAGATCATATTATTGAAAAGCAATTATCCCTCATTCTAGAGCCTCCCAGAAATCAGAGGCTCTTTATTTCTACTTATTACTTCTCATGTAGTCAATACTCATCGTTACAAGATACTCCATTTTTCTTCCCAATGAGGAATCAAGGCAACTTACATCCTCAAAGGTATAACACAGAAAGACAGAGCAATTTCTGTGTCAAGGTACTCCGTCTTTCTGTGTTATATCTTTGAGGATGCCAATCACAGCTGCTGGTGAAACATCAGGCCCTACAATGCCAAGACCATGGCCATACAACCTGGAAAATCTACAACAGCTAATGAACTCTGGCCGTGAAAAGCCTTTGACAACATATTTTGATGCAATAATTCAGAGCAAGAGATGTCAGTTATGAGACATTGTTAAATAAACAAAATATTGCAAGAGTGCTAATGTTTTAAACATGTTTTTATTTTAAGTTAAAAAAAAACTTTGTGTTTGTGTCCTCTATAAAGTGTATATCTCTGCTAGCTGGCATTACATTTTATGACACACATGGCCAGGCCCAACAAGGTCTCATTTAGGTCAGATCCGGCCCTCATAACAAATGAGTTTGACACCCCTGTGATAGACTATGGAGATTAAAATAACATTGTTTCAGGGGCAGCTGCTGCCACAGTTTTTGTTTTATTCCCCCTCATTCCTCTTTCCCAGTGTATTTTTAAAATTTCACCTCTTCTCTCCTGCATTTGAGCCTCCTCCTGGGACAGCCATTTGGTGTTTGCGTTGACCACTCTGTGTCAAAATTCCAAAGATGCCCACAGGCTCAAAAAGGTTGGGGACCCCTATTCTAATCATCACACCACACAGACTTCATGTGGACACACGGAGCTGTCTTATAGTGACTCAAGATCATTCGTCCATCAAGGTCAGTGATGCCTACTCAGACTGGCAGCAGCTCTCCAGGGTCTCAGGCATTTCACATCACTGCCTGTTCCTTTTTAACTGGAGATGCGGGGGGGGGGGGGGGAAAG